TCAACTCCACACTCGACTCGACTCCACTCCACTCCACTCCACTGCCTGCCGTCATCCATTGGATTAATCTCTATCTCTCTCTCTCTCTCTGCCTCTCTCTCTCCCTCCCCCCAGGATTAAGGCTAGCAGCCGCAGCCGCAGCCGGCCCAGCTGCGTTTTAACTTCTGCTGTGCTGTTGCTGTTGCCCCTTGCCACATGCAACGTGAGCTGTGTGCCACACTCAATAATTTGCCCGCTGCTCTGCTCTGCTTGTTCGTTTGCTGTGCGAATGTTACTCTCTGATCTCCTCTTACCCCCTGCCCCTGCCCCTGCCCCAGCCCCTGTTGTGACTCGCATTCGCCGCTTATCTCGGCTACGACTTCGCCTTCGACTTTGCCTCGCGCCGCTCTGCCGCTCTGCCACTCTGCCACTCTGCGGCTCGTTTTCATGTCTTTATTTATAATTTTATTGATAAAATTGACATTAATCGCGCGTTTAAGATGATTTTTATCGCCTTGCGTGCAAATTGCTTACAATTTTTTTTTCTTTGCGCCCCAAAACAAGTAAACTGCAAAAAGTTTCTGCTGTACATTTTTGCCAGATCTTTTTTTCTTTATTTCTTACTGGCGCGCTGTTTTTTTGTATTGCCTTTAAGTGTTGAGGTGCGAGTGATTATTGCATTTGACAGGCACAACAGAACAGCACCGGAACCTGTCAAAAAAAACCACAGAGGGGGGGGCATCCTTTTGATGATCATTTTGAAGTACACAAAAAAAAAATTGAAGGAAAAAAATATTATATTTATTTGCATAATTAAGGGAGAGAATAATGATTTACATTCAGAGCGTAGATCGAGGCACGTTCTGGCATCAGAACATGCAGGAAATTCCAGCATTTCCATGCACCACTCCCCTGGGTTGGGGGCTGTCAGCTCTTTGGAATTAAGTTCTCAGTTTGAGCTTTTTAATTGATATTCAAGGAGGTCGAATAGTGCTTCAAATTATTACCCCAGCTAGAGATGATTATTTCTCACTATTTTCAGGGGGCAAGTGATATTCTCTTCAGTTATTTCTCCGATTCTTCCAGCTCAATTTTCGCCCCAGCAGTAAACATTCCGCGACAGACAATTCCCCATGCAATATTCTGTTTAAATGCCAAACTGACAACGAAGTAAATGCAAATGCAAATACAAAACAAATCCATAAATATTCGGCATGCGGAAAAAAACTTTATGATTTTATTGTGTATCCGCCACATCCGCCAATCCGCAGTGAAAGGAATATTTCAGTGGAAAATCAATGCCAGATATATATATATTCCTATTCCCTATTTTTGCACAGGCCAACGTCCTGCCCCCCTGCCATGCCATCCCCCCCCCCCCGAACCCCTCTTGAGCAATGCCATTTTTCGGTTTGATATATGAAATGCGTTTGTTGCCTCGTTCGCTTCACTTTGGGGCAAAGCATTTTCCCACATTAATTTTCCTAATTTCGAAAGCCAACCCACCCACACACACACGCGCAGGGTGGTGCGGCAATGGGGGTGGTGGGTGTTATGCCACAGAGCTCTGACTGCATCCCCGCAGGACAGCGCAGAACTATTTATCAATGCTGAAACATTTCAAATACATTCTGCGTTTTTAGAGCAGGAAGAGACCAGCCAGGGCAGGCAGGCGGAGCTGCTGCAACCAGGACACACACACAGAGACACAGAGACACAGAGACAGACACAGTACACAGAGGCAATGCGACATGGCAAGATTATGATGGAGATCCCTTTGCACTGCCTGCCACTGGCTTCGGCTTCGGCTCCGGCTCCGGCTACGGCTCCGGCTCTGGCTCCCCCATCGCATTCCCTGTCAAATGAAGCGGCAAAAAAGTAGCTGGAAAATGAAATATGCCAGCGACGTCTCCATCGCCCATTGCCCATTGCCATTCTACATTTTTGGCCCCCAATGTGCGTCCTGTTTGCTGCTGCTGCTGCCTGCTCCTGCTCCTTCTGCTGCTCCGCCTGCTAAGACAACTGGCGGCGCATTAAATGACGCCCCAGCGACATCTTACGCAATGGTCGAATAGCCGATAGTTCCAGCAGTTAGCACTACTAGGGATGGCAGATTAGAAGCCACATATAGAGGGAATTTTTATATGCCAGGCGAATGTAGGAATTTCTGTTTTATTTAATTCTGTGGATTAATTTACTAAATCAATCTTGGGACTATTTTAATGATTAGTCGCTCTACAAATTGAATATTAATTCCACCAAAAAACCAACGGCTAAAACTAGAAAACAAAAATGTTTTAAGCAACACTTTTAGCTAACTTGCACTTTGCGGCGCTTTATCTTCAGGGCTATAAATTCCATCAACGCGTATAAAAAAACCCCGTGAAAGATCGTACAATTCTCTATTTAACTTGCTTTTTTGGTATTCTGAAAATTTCCTGTGCAAAGCTAAGAAAGTACGCAAGGTCAGCAAAAAGCAGTTTTTAACTTTAAAAAAAAATAAAATATTTTTGTGCTTTATTTTCTACCACTTCGAGTGAGTTGCAGCTGCTTCATAGCAGATCCGATACAGATTCGATAGTTTTTGACTTCTCGTGTCACGCAGCACCAGAGTTGCCCTTTTAAGATTTTTTCTGCTGTCTCTGCAGCTGGTAACTCTCTCTCTCTCTCTCCCTCTGTGTGTGTGTGTTTGTGTGTGTGTGTGGAGAACGCATAGAAAATTGCATTTCGCCTGCTGCAAAATATTTCACTTTAGAGGACAAACAGGTCACAGGCTGACTTTTGCAGTCATGCACACACGCACATGCAAACCCTGGCAGCCAGCAAGCAGGCGGCATCAGGCAGCAGGCAGGAGGGGGTTGCCCTAACCATTTAGTATGCAGCTGGCGTACGGCTAAAGGGGGGTGGCGGCGGCTGTGGGTGGTGGGGGCGGAAACTTTTTGGCGCGTCTCGGCCAACAAACGCATGCATTTATCCGCCCAAAAGCGAGGGGAAAAACGTCCCTGAAGCACGTAAATAAATCTTAAAATTGTAAAACCCGCAAAAGCGAGAAGGAGAGTGGGTGCTGGAGAGAGGGGTTGGCTGTGGGTGTGGGTGTGGGTGTGGGTGTGGAGGGTTGGGACTCCTCTCGCTTTGGATCTGTCGCCATTTTGCGATGTGTTTTGCCGCCATTGCCGCAGCAAATTACGCAAGGCAAGGCGTCGTAGTCGCCGTAGTCGTCGTCGTCGTCTTCGTGCTTGTACTTCACATCCTGGTCCTAGTGCTGGCTCCCTTCTGCTGCTCGTCGTCTCAGTTCAACTAACGTTTGTCCTTGGCATGTCCTTTGGCGCGCTTTTGTGCATTTAAACCGACAACGGGATCTGTCTGTGTGTATGTATGTGTGTGTGTGTGTGTGTGTGTGCCCAGAGAGCTGAGACGACGGCAAAATGCAGTCATTACTGAAAATTGGTTTTGGGGCTAACGCACTTGCACATTTCATGGCTATGATGAGCAGAGGGGTGGGGGTGGGGTGGGGGTGGTCGCCACCCTCCCACCAGGGCTCACAGGGGATGGATTGCCACAGAGTGAGCCGCGGCCAAGGGGGTAGTAGGGGTTGGGTAGTAGTTGGGCGGGGGGGCATACAAAAAATGCGTCGTTTCAAAAGTTTACTTCTCGCATATTTTTCTTCAAATTGCATGCGATTTTTACTTGTTTGCCACGCCGCCATCTTTTTTGGCGCCTTGTGCTGCGTGGGGGAGCGTTTTTTTTTTGTCTTTTTTACTTTCAGGGAATGCATATATATATGTATGTATATGGGTGCTGCTGTGCTACAGTGTGGCATGCCACTGATGAACTGGCAGACTCTTTAGATTTTTGTGTACTTTTAAAATAAAATAACTCAGCATCTGGCAGACATTAATGCTGAGCCTTTCTTTGTGAAGGTACAGGTAAGTCTGTGTGGCCAAAGAGAAATTCTTAGTGCAGGTCTTGGATCTGCAAACACATTGCCAGGCATTCCCAGCTGATTAGCATTTGGCACCACTTTGTGACTGGGACAGGGACAGGGACAGTGAGTACTGTATGTTTTGGGGCATGGCATGCATTACCTTGGCGCTTGTTGCTGTTTCTGCTGCACGCTCGTGCCGCTTGCCAACCGTCTTGGGGGAACGACACACACGCATCGCATCGCATATTTTCAACGATTTGTTACGCTCCCACTGCCACCCCTCTCCCCCATGCACCCCTCCCACTGCCACCCACTGTAATCGCATGTGGTTTGTCAGGCTTCCCCCCACCAAGCCCATTTTTTTTGGGGTGCTCTCTCTCTCTCCGCATTCTTCTTTTTGGGTCGTGAAGGTAAGACCGAAAAAGAGACAATGAAATGGCAACAAACGCATCGAAATAGAGATAAAGAGAGGCAAAGAGACAGAGACAGAGAGAAGGAGGGTTAGAGAAAGAGAAAGCGCAATAAAGAAGAGTGGGGAGTGGGGAGTGAGGTGGGGAAGGGAGACTAATGTGGGGATTACAAGGATTTACTAATGCAATTGCATGTTGCACTGCTTGCACCGCTTGCACTGCTTACACTGCCCGCAGCCAGCGCAGGCACCCGCACACCGCCCTGTGCGTGGCGTGTGCGGCTAATGCTTTCTGCTCCAGCCATAAATATCTATTAATTATATGCACTTGCACGGGTCCAACAAATATTTGCTTATATTTTTTATTCTATTTTATGTCATTTGCGTTATGCAACAATATCCACGAACGCAGTGGTTTTTTTTGCGACCCACTAAATGCGTACAAAAATATGGGTAGATCCAAGCAAGCCTTAAGGTGTCAGTCTGTGACCTTTGAGGAGTTAGCTCCAGCTCACTAGCTACTGATAACAACTCGAAGCTCACCGACTAACACCTAAGCGCTTGCCTGGATTTACCAGTATTTTTGTATACAGCTTGACCGACATGCAATATACATATTTTGTTGTTGCAAAATTCTTCTGTTGACTCCTTTCTTAATTAACGACACTGCTCCAGAATCGTCCTACTGCAAGAGCTAGTCTTTAAAAAAATATAAATAAATAAATATAAATAAATACAATAATTATAAATATATTTTAGGTCTAGTGATGTTTTACCTGTCGATTACTGGAAGCACTATTCGACTGGCTTAGCATCCTGTAAATTCCAAGCAGCATGCCCTGCTATTTATGTTTCAACTAAATATATTTTTCATATTATTTTTTTTGGTTTTGGGCGCACTCATCACAGCCAAGAACTCTTACCCGACATTCACGTTCACGTTCAGCTGTCAGCATCAGCTGGTAGAGGAGCGCATCCTGGATCCACTCCACGCCCCTGGCCAACTTATCCTCATCCGCTTGCGTCAGGCCCATGTTCATTTTCCTCAGCACTCTGGCATTGAAAATACGCCAGTTGATTGTCTTCAGCGCCACGCTGTTCCTGGACACATATCGGCTCAGGTTCACGCGTCCGGGATGCACCTTATTGAAGAGTCTCGCCACTGGCAGAACGTCACTGAACTCGTGACGTGTCCGATGGTTCAGCAGCACGCCGTAGGTCTGCAGCCACAGATCCAGCGTTTGGCATTGCTGGTAGTTTAATTGCCAAAAGGAAGACATATCGCGGTGTGCAATATATTTGGGAACTTGTAAATTTTGAACGAACTCGAAATGGGAAATTAGTCAATGAACTCGTGACTTGTCCGATGGTTTAGAAGCAACTGATTTCAACAGTAGATTTGCATTTGAATTGTTGAGTGACATGTTTTTGTTTTGAACAGCTACTAAAACCAGGCTAAAATAGGCTGTTCACACTGGCGCTGCGTCCTGCTTCATTGCGTCTATTCCGATATCGATAGGAGACGCGTCCAGTGTGAAACGGCTATAAAGGGCAGCAGAGGAAAGCATTTAAAAACCCTATAAAGTAGCTACATTTATTATTAATCAGCCTGTTTGTCTGTCCAGCTGTTTGTTATGAAGGGGAAAAATCAAAGGGAATTCTTCCACCAGCACTCGAAAGCCCAAATTGTGTGTGCAACGAGTGATCATAGAAATTGGAAGATGCTGCAGCGGCAAAGTAAATCCCTGCAAGGCTAAAGCTGTCTTCCATGGTCAGGAGCTATTATCGATTTGCCTGCAAGTACGTAACGTAACGTAACGTAACGTAACGTAACGTATCGTTGCGTATCGGGACAGCAGCACATCCTAATTAAATCAGTTTAAATTGGCAGCGCCAGCCGTGTGCGGTGCTGCCAAGTCATTATGAGCCACGAGATTTGGTTTGGGGGTTTTTCCTCTTAATTTTCTTTTACCACTTTTTTTTAGCTGTTCTGGCCACGTTTCGAGAGTCTGGTAGATAGCTGCCTGCCTGCCTGACTGCCTGCCTGACTGCTTGAATTTCACACTTAAGAGGCCAAAGGGTAAACGCGAAAAGAAGCTGGAAAAAAAAAACGAGTAAAATGCCCAAACTGCTGATGGAAGGTTCTGTTGCTGTTGCTGTTGCTGTTTCTGTTCCGTTCTTTTCTGTTCGGTTCTGTCTGCTATTAAAAAGCGATTTTAGAGGCAACCAAAACCAGCCAGCCAGCCAGCATCTCTCGTTCTCACTCGTGTGCCCCTTCCTGCCCCTGCTTCTGCCCCCTGGTTAATTTTGCAACCTACCAGATTGATTTCGCGCGTAAATTTATGCGCACTTTATTGCACATTTTTGCAAGTACGTTCACCAGTGGCCCTCAGTGCCCCCCAGTGCCCACAGCGACTCAGGCAAAGAGCCGCAGTGCATTTTCCCAGCCGCCCCAAAAGATTTTCCTGGCACGTCGGCAGCTGGCCAAGAAGATAAGCCAGCCGCTTGGACTTGCACTTGGACTGCCACTGGAGCTGGTGCGGCTGGGTCTGGCTTGGGGCAACGTATTTTATTTAGAGCAGTTGGCCTGATGAAAGGCGAGAGAGCAGGAGAGAGAGTTGCGGCACGACTGTCCAAATGCGAAAGGTCAATTGATGATGCTGGGGCCGATAGGCAGTTGCTCCCGCTGCTACCCCGCTGCTCCAAGGGTATGCCAGGCCTTTGCTTTCAGTTTTCTATATATTTTAAATTGTATTTTCCAAATTGTTGAAGTTCATGGAATGCCCAGCGAAAAGCAACGTCTATGGGGTTTAATTTAAATTTAAAATTAATTTAAATGAAATGTAAAAAAAAAAAAAAAGAAAAAAAAATCAGAATTTGGTATACCCAAAGTCTATGCTTAACAGGCTGAAGAAGTTGCCAGCTGCCCACTAAAATGTGCCCATTGGAAGTGTCGAAATTTTCGCATTGGTTTTTGCTTTGTTTTGTTTTTTTTTTTCTTTTTTAACACGCGCCGCCTGCAATTAAGATCATCTTTAAATTGGCAGGCCAGTTGGAACGTAATTACTCTTTTGTTTTGGGGGCAGAGCAACTCTATTAGGCAGGCAGAGAGAGAGATGCAGCGCCTGGCTGGGCAGATGCATGCCAAAATGAAGCCTTTTATATCGATATATTAATCGATAAACAGCCTGAGGTACAAAAAAGGCAAATAAATACACTTTTGGGGCCACACTGTTTTCAGGCATCACGAAACGTTTTTACTAGGGCCCCCCTCACCATATATATTCGAGATATATGTAAATAAATAAAGAGACACAAACATGCTCGTGCGCCCCACCCACACATGCATTCAAACACTCACATATTTTATTCAAACACTCACACACACACACACACATACCTACACCTACACCCACACCCACACCCTACACCTCAGACAGACAACCATCTGCTTGTCTTTTATTTGAATACCCTTTCAAAGGGTATGGGCATGTCAATCATTTGTTGAGAATTTTTAGAAGAATTTTTAGAAGAATTTTTAGAAGAATTTTCCCCCTTTTAGATGAAAGATTTTGCTTGCCCAAAAGAGAAATAATCAACTGCAGTTTCTGAGCTAATCAACTCCACTGAATCAACTTAATATGGGGGGCATTCACATCCTTTATTATGTGCAGCAATAGGAGAGGGGCGGGGGCACTATGGCAAAGTGCATCAAAGGCTGCGACTAAGCTCGCCCCTTTGCTATCGTTATTTTCTGCATATTTTCGCACCTGCAATAAGCAACGCCACGCCCCCGTACTTGCCCAACACCCCCTCCACCCGTAGGAAAGCATATCCTATATCCCATATCCCCCATATGCCAGGCTGCTCCGCTCCCGCTCCGCTCCGCTCCTTCTGCTCCTTCTGCTGCATCGAGACAACATGGATAAAATAAATATTAAACGGCCTTCCCTGTGCTCAGTTCTCGTTCTCGTTGTGTTCCGCTTTGTTCTGTTCTCGGCTTTCAGTTCTATTTGACTTGGGCACCCACACACACACAGATGTTCCAACCAGGTGGAGGATGTGTGTGTGTGTGTGTGTGTGTCAGTGTATATCCTGCATATCCTGTGTATCCAAATTGCAACCACACCAACAACAAACAAACAGAACTACCCATCAAACCATACACCCCCCACAGCCAGCCCAAACGCCCCCCACAGCCCGCCCAAACACCTCCCACAGCCCATATACCCCCCACAGCTCATACTTCCCCCCTGTCATTCCATGTACCGTGTTTGGGTGGGCGCTGGGTGGGCGCCTTAAAAGTCAAAAGTAAAAACAAGTCAATTTACGTCAAGCACTTTTGCTATAAAGGATATTAGAGCAGAAATACAACAACGACATGCCAACATTTCCGACATGTAGGCGTCGACTGCCGGCGCCGTTAGAGGCACGTGGTGTGACTGCCACGGGGCGTGGTGGGGGGCAGCCAGGGGAACACAGCATGATTCCGAATGCAACTGCCATTTGCGAGTCGGTGGCGACCATTTTGGGTCTGCAAGGCAGCAGCGTCGCCTGGCAGGGGCGCTGGGGGGTGGCATCGTGTGGCAATGGGGGGGGGGGGGGGAGACTGAGCATTGCATGCATGTCATTTGTACCCTGCCAGGCCGCGCGAGGGCAGGGCCGTGCATTGGGGCATTGTTGGGTGCCACTGGCTGAGGGAGTTTTTTTCTCTCTTTCTTTCTTTTTTTTTTTTTGTTCGTTTGTGCATCTTGCAACTTGTGAGCAGCAGGGCTGCAGTGGCAGTGGCAGTGGCAGTGTGGCAAGCAGCAGCAAACAAAATGGCAGTCGGCTGCACTCGAAGAAAATAAATCCAGAAATTTGGTGCCAATTTTCCACACAACTTTTGACTGCTGCCCAAACGTTGAGGCTGTGCTGCGCCCTGCCCAAATTCCGTTTGCCATTTTTTCAGCAATTTTTGAATGATTTGAGTTTGGGTTTTCGTGCAGTGCATTTTGCTGTTTGCGTTTTCGTAGGCGCAGAAGAGTTTTTAAACAGTTTTCGGGCGGAAATTGCGTTGCCATTAGGCGAAACGAACGAAACGGCAATGGCAGTGCCAGGACGAACCACGGGACCTACCCCAAAAGCAACAACAACAAAAACCACGCAAAAGAAAATGGCAAGTAAAGTAAAATAAAAGCAGCAAAAAAAAAGGAAAAAAAAATGAGAAGTAATACAACCCCCAGGACGAGGAGTAGGTTGTACCAAGACATGGCTCCCCCCCACCCCACCCGCAGCACCAGAACCAAACGAGAACCCTAACCTACCGCAACGCATTTTAGCCTGGCTAAGGGTAGTTTTTTTTTCCTTTGTTTTTCCTTCTTTCTTTCTTTCTTGCTTTCTTTCCCGCTTTGCGTGCCTCTTCGTTTTTCCCTATATTTATACTTTGGTTTCAGCCAAAACAATTTAATACATTACATTTTACTGGCATTTCCATTTACTTTGCTTTTGGCCTGGCCTGTCCTGGCCTGTCCTGGCCTGTCCCATCTTCCTGTGGCTCTCTCGCACGCACCACCAACACGCAACTGAAAGGGTGTTGGGGGGGGCTGGGGGTGCTGACTGCGCAGTTTTCCACCCATAAATAACGTCATAATGTCCTCGTTTTCGTCTTTATTTCTATCCTCTGCACTCCTCTCCTCTGCTCTCCTCTCCTCTGCTCTCCTCTGCATGCGAACAACCAAAAGACGCTGTCTGCTTGTGCTGCTGGGGCATGCCTCTTAGTGGTGGGTGCAGCATGATTATGGGGACAGATCATTGAGGTGAGCATAGCAAGCGCTTTTGCCGAGAGCATTAAATGAATTAATACAACTTTACTTTACCCAAGGTCACGTTGCAGCCGTTCAACGAAGTGGGGAAAAAAAACATGCAAGCTGCAGGGAAAAAGTGAAAATTGTTATGTGTGTGTGTGTGTGTGTGTGTGTGTGTGTGTTTGAAGCAAATAAAGCTTCAAGTATTTAATGGGTGAGAATTATCACAGGAAAAGCGAGATTATGGGTACACCATGAGAATAAAATAGAAGAAACAAAATGATTGAAACCAAAAGTAAGAAATGCTCTAATCAAAGTCGATTTTGTGATAAAAATAATAATAATAATATTATTATTATTAGTAATAGTATTATTATTATTATTAATATGAATATTATTATTAATAATAATAATAATATTCATATTGCAGAAGCCACACCAATCCTATCATTTGGTATGCTGCTGTCCATTTGTGACGCCCAATTTTAGCCCTGAGACTTCCGATGGCTCTAATCATCAGTACACCGATTATATATATATATTATATATTATATTATTATATATTATATATTGATGTTATTATACAAATGAAAGTTGTTTTT